AGCCCAAACCTACAGTCACGGGCGAAGGATCAAGTCGCATCGAGTCTCAAGGATGATACGAAGCATGGGTCGCCGAAGACAGAAAGGCAAAATCAGATCTGATATTAGCAATCAGCCCAAGCGAGTTGAAGCAAATTCGCGGATGCGAAACATCGAAAGAAGTCTGGGACAAGCTGTCGTCTGTTTACGCATCGAAGGGACCCGCGCGGAAGGCCTCCCTGCTTAAGCTACTTACGCAACATAAAATGAAAGAAGGCGAAGAGATAAGGGAACACCTAGCAGCATTCTTCGACGCGGTTGACAAGCTTGAAGCGATGGAAGTCACAATAAACGACGAGTTACTTACGATCATGTTACTGTACAGCCTTCCGAGCTCGTTCGAAAATTTTCGATGCGCCATTGAATCCAGAGATAAACTACCCGACGCTGAGTTTCTTAAAATAAAAATAATCGAGGAATTCGACGCGAGGAAACGAAAGGCAGAGGAAAGCGAGTCCGGAGCCATGTTCGTGAAGGGCACTGGAAATGGCCGAAAACACGCACTGAAGCACTTCAACAAACCGGAGAACAAAGACGAAAGCAAAAAGAACTTGAAGATTAAATACAAGTGTAACTACTGCGATAAAGTAGGACATAAAGCCGTCGATTGTTTCGCGAAGAAAAGATCTAGAGAACAGAAAGCGAATGTTACCGAGGAAGCCTTCCTCACGGAGGAACACTGCCATAATTCATCGCTTATGGTCGACTCGAACATCAAGAACAATAATTGGTGCATTGACAGTGGCTGTACCTCCCACCTCTGTAAAGACAATCAAATGTTCACTGACATCAAGATGACGGAAAGCGGCGTCAAACTCGCGAGCAGCGTAACCACTCCGGTGAAGGCACGAGGGGATGTACGAGTGATTGTGTCGGACGGACACAACGATAAACCGATAACACTACAAAATACTCTATACGTTCCCGATCTACGAACAAACTTGATCTCAGTTGCGAAAATCGTAGACAAGAAGAACAAGGTCATTTTCAACGAAAGGCAAGCCATCATTCAAGATTCTCAAGGAAATACAAAAATGATCGCTGATCGACGAGGAGATCTGTTCTATCTGCGTGAAGGATCGGAGCAGGTAAATGCGGCGACCTGTGCGCACCCGTCGAAAGCCGAGGTTTGGCACGACAGGCTAGGACATTTAAATACTGAAGACATGGAACTAATGCTGAATGATCGAAACGTGATAGGCATGATATTCAAGGATCATATGGACTCGCGCACGTGTAAGGTTTGTCTTGCAGGAAAGTTGACGAGCTCTCCCTTCCCCACGAAAGCCGATCGCTCATCCGAAATCCTCGAAATTGTTCACACTGACCTTTGTGGCCCCATGAGGACGGAGTCAAAAGGTGGTGCTCGCTATTTTTTAACGGTGACGGACGATTGCAGTCGCTGGTGTGAGGTGTTCTTTCTCCGAAGCAAAAGCGAGGTAACCTCAAAACTCATCGAGTACAAAAACTACGCCGAAAAACAAACAGGAAATAGTCTGAAGGCTGTGCAATCCGACAATGGTACGGAGTTTTGCAATGAAGCGATGAACAAATTTCTTAAGGACTCCGGAATACGCAGGCGCTTAACGACTGTATACACGCCACAGCAAAACGGTGTCGCCGAACGCAAAAATCGCACACTCGTGGAATCTGCCAGATGCATGATGTTACAATCTGGTTTACCGCCATCCTTTTGGGTCGAGGCAGTGTCTGCTGCCAACTATATCAGAAACAGATGCGTAACCAGAAGTTTGAAAAAAGGTACACCGTATGAGAACTGGACTGGCAAGAAGCCTAATATCGGACACCTCAGAACGTTTGGATCAAAGGTGTTTGTTCTCGATAAAACGCCAAATAAAGGAAAGTTTGACCCACGTGGAATCGAGGGCACGTTCGTCGGATATGCCGAAAACGCAAAAGCTTACCGAGTGTGGATACCTAATGAAAATAGGATAAGGATCACACGAGACGTCAGATTTCTGAACGGATTAGAATCGCCGAGCCTGTACAAGGACATCATCACTGAGGAAACGAGGAACGGACGTTACGAAATGTTGGACGATCCAAAGACAACTGAGATGATCCAAACGGTCCCAAAGCGGGACCTTCATGAGTTAACACACGACGATGGCGAAGAGAATCACTCTGAAGATGGCGTGGACCACGACCCAGTCGGTAAGGACAACATGGAAAATGGACACGACAACGCCGAATCTCGACGAGGCCCCGGTAGGCCGCGCAAGGTAAGAACCGGAAAGCCTTGACGACCGGCGAAGCAATATCACTTCGTTCCTGATGATCGAAATCAGGATGCCAATGCTGTCGTAAGCAATCCTGTCAATAACAGTCAACGAAGGTACGAGAGCGATGACGATGATCTTGAATGGCACGATGCCGAAATCGCGATGAGCACATTGGAGGTTCCACTCTCTCAGGCAATTTCTTGATCCGAGCGGGAAGAATGGAAGGCTGCCATTTATGAAGAAATAAAATGCTTAGTCGCCAATGACACATGGACAATAAAACAAAAACCTCCTCAACAGAAGATAATAGGATGCAGAATCGTCCTACGCCACAAATACAAACCGGACGGGAGGCTGGATCGACATGAGGCTCGTCTCGTAGCAATGGGGCACGCACAACGCCCGGGTATCGATTTCCTCGAAATCTACGCACCTACAGCCAGACTGGACTCGCTCAGATTGCTCATGGCCATCGCCGTGGAGTACGACTTACAGATTCGACAACTCGACGTGACCACAGCTTATTTAAACGGTTATATAGACACCGAGATATTTATGGACAAACCAGAGCTCTTGACCGAGATGCTCGAGAAGATAGTTCTGAAGGAGAGCGACAATGAGCTCGTATCAAAGGCCAGGATGATGCTGAAAGACTTGTCCGGAGACAACAAGGTATGCAAACTGAGGAAGGCCCTATACGGCCTTCGTCAAGCGGGCCGCCAGTGGTATGCAAGACTATCAGGAGCGTTCAAAGAAATGGGTTTAGTACCAACCGGCGGAGACCCTTGCGTTTACCTTGACTCGAGAACGCGAGGGAAGACCATAGTCCTGACTTACGTAGACGATATAATAGTTGCATCGAATAACCCACAAAGGATCAAGGAGATAGTATCGGAGCTATCACGCATATTCACAATCAAAGACCTAGGTTCAGCCAAATACTGTCTAGGACTTGAGATACAAAGGAAGAGGGAAAGTTTGTGTCTCTCGCAATCTGGATACATCAGAGAAATATTACAAAGGTATGGGATGGAAGATTGCAAGGAAATTAGCACTCCTCTTTCTACCGATACCAAGTTATCGGCTAATACTGAAGACATCAACGGCCTTGACACTAAAGATCCCGACGAGAATATTCCCTATCGACAACTCTTGGGAGCACTTATATACGTGGCCATCGGAACGCGCCCAGACATCGCACACGCGGTTAGTGCGTTAAGTCAGTTCAACAATAATTACAACAAGTCTCATTGGGTCGTTGCGAAACGCATTCTTCGATATTTAAAGGGAACCACGGAAGTCAAGTTGATATACCGTAAGGATGAGAAACAGCTGCACGGATATGTGGACGCCGATTGGGCAAATTGCGTCATCGATCTTTGAAGTTATACTGGGTCCATCTTTCTCTTAGCTGGCGCTGCCATAACATGGGAATCAAGAAAGCAGCGGACAGTCGCATTGTCATCCACTGAGGCCGAGTACATGGGGTTGTGCGACGCTGCAAAAGAGGCCATTCACCTAATAGGATTCTTGAAGGAGATGGGATTTAGGAGCTTGTGCAGCGTGACATTGTTCAACGATAATCAGGGCGCTGGGAAATTGTCAACAAATCCCGTATTCCACTCGAGGACGAAGCATATTGACACCCATTATCATTTCATACGAGAAGCCCTAAAAAGCCAGCCGATCACGCTTGAGTACATTCCTACCGAACTCATGGTTGCAGACATACTAACGAAGGCTCTACCGAGAGCCAAGCATACGAAATGTACCATCGGCCTTGGATTGAATTTGGACGCAACTTCCAAGACAGAAGGAGGTCAAAATTGAGGGAGAGTGTAGGACATACAATTTACCCGCCCTCTGTCTTTACCGATAGTTAGCGGTGGCGCTTCACACCTCCACGGGGCGCTACTCCCGCGGCTACCTCCCGTCTACACCACACTTCACTTCCTACACACTTCGTTCGTTGCTAACCGCCATGTTCACGTGTGTCGCGTTGTTTTTTCTTTGTCTATTAAAACTTACAATAAATACGTTCTACTCTGTCTCCAAGACTCCGTCGCTGCGTTCACCCGGATCCACATCCTACTCCAGATTAATACTCAATCACAGAAGTTAAATTTGATGATTGTAAAACCGTAAGGCGTGGGATTCGTAATATGAGTAGTTCTAATACGAAGTCACATATGTTTTTATGTCCAAGTGACAATTGTTGCTATAGTATGAATGTCATTGTACCGTAATAACAATAACCGGAATGAACATCGAGTGCCTGTTTCTACTTGGTTTCAACTACCTAAAGATGAGTCCTGGGTACAATGTATCGCATGCTCATTTCGCGCGCCCATCGGTTGTGTTTGTTTGTATTTTAGAAATATTAAATTGAGCTTTTTAATTGCAATACTGATATACTTTAGGCTTTATTGTTGATTTCCGGTAGTATCTTATAAGCAATTTGTTGACTTTGCGATTTACTCACTTTTTATATTACTTCAATTTTCAGAAAAGAAGTATTTAAATTAAATTTTACATGACAATATCTTAAGGCTTATTAAATTCCTTTTAAAATGACGTACTATTTTTTAAAATTCTGCCCATACACTTCCAGAACTTACCCAAAATGAATTCGGTATCTCATAATAGGGGGACCTTTCCTCTCTATTAATTAATTGAAATAATTCAACTATATCTTTTCTTTTTACAGCTTTCCTGCAAAAATTATGGGATTATTGCTGGCTATCGATATTTACATTGTATCAAATTCTCTTTATTATTTTTTCTATTAAGGCGATGCTTGACGCCAATCTCCCCATATGTTGTAGGACGATTGTTTTAACGGAACAAGTACGCATTTTTTAAAATCTGTTTATATCGTCTTAAACGACGTTAGAAGCGGAAAATGTGAATTTTTTTACAAAGTATACGCCGCAATAAATCAATTTTGTCGGTTTATATGTTTGATAGTAAAAATTAATCAAACGACAAACAAAATAAATAAATAAAATGTTAATGATTTCTTTTTATTGTCGAAGACATTAACATAATTAGTTTCCAAATGTGTTTGAACAATTCACATATAAATAGAATATTTTATATTATTTTATATTAGCATTATTTTTCTACTTAAAACAGTGTTTGCTTCTTTAGGTACGCATGATGATGAAGAGTCACGCTTTCGTCAGAAGCGTAGCACCTAGATTTTTGTCGTACAAATCCCACAGCGAAATTCCGCTACCGAATGAGCCCAAATTTTCACAATATTTGTATTTCCTTTTCGCACCGACTCTTGTGTACCGCGATGAATATCCCAGGTAAAGATATTTCATAATTTCTTTGAAAAAATAATAAGCTTTTAATTATACAATAAAAGGGATAAGCTACGTAATTATTAATTATAAAATTTACCTTGTTACTTGACAATAATGGCTTTATATGGCTTTAGAAAAATTTCCAAGTTCGTTTGCGAAATATACAAGCAATATGTCCTAATCCGTTAATAAAGTTTAAAGATTCATTGTGATACTTGAAAGATAATATAATAATACTGCCATGTTGGTGCTACTTTAAATTGAGAGTCTTTAAAAAAGGTCTGTTTGAGCATAATTCGTATTTTTTTTTAGGACAGAAAGAGTTAGGTGGATGGTGGTAATTCGTAATTTTGTGGAATTTGTCCTAACGATCTTCTATCTCGCCTTTATCTGAGATAGTCTGGTGTCACCGATCTATAGCGTATTTGGCACACAACATCTGGATCGGATGTGGTTCGTCCAGAATATCATCAAGACTAGTATCTCTGGCATTCTCTACTTGGTCATCACAAATTATCTTCTGCTTCATGCGTGGATGAACACTTGGGCGGAAATGCTGCAGTTTGCCGACCGACTGTTTTATAAAGTGAATATACTTTCAGTAATTTACCTCACAATAATTACACGTAGAATACCTAAATATATTATATGTAATATATCATACTGTCATGGCTTTAGTGTACGAAATGCGTTATACAAGAATCGGTGCCTCTATCCTTATACAAGTAACGCAACTGGGAGTTTACAGCTCCAGAATTACTCCAAAGCATTTTGCTAGAGATGTACGAATTATTGGAATACGAATCGAATTGAATCGAATCAATTTTTTTTATATAAAATTTTTCATATAATCAATTTTTTAATATAATTTTTTTATTCATAAATTAGATTTTAACTGGCAATTATATTGTTAAAAAGTAAAAAGTTATAATTCAACTCGAATTCGATTCGGATTTGATTCGTATTAAAAAAAAAACTGATTCGAAGAAAACTTTGATTCACACATTTCTACTTTTTACATGGTAATTTCATGAGAGTAGTAAGGTCTCAGAGCTGAATATGCATCTATGCATTGAAGACAACTAATAATATAATTAAATATATAAACGTTTTGTGTAAACGTCCGGACACAGATATATGTCTGGTCACTGAGATATTTACCTTGCAGCTTCGGGAGGCAGATATTTTTTTCAAACAACAGAATTCTGATACGATATATCCAATTCCAATAACATTCGGAAGCTATTGTAGATTATTTACTTCTGTAAACTGCAGTTTCATGAATTATTGTACCGCTTGTGTTACAGGACTGGTGGAACTCTACGACTTTCCACATGTTCTTCCGCACATGGAACGTGGTAGTGCACGACTGGCTGTACACGTATGTCTATAGGGACATATACGAAATCGTGGCGCCATACAACCGCGTGTTGTCAGCTACTGCTGTATTCTTCATCTCCGCCATCGTCCACGAATACATATTCGCGTTTGCATTAGGCTTCTTCTACCCTGTACTATTTACCTTATTTATCACTATTGGTTTTCCCATGTTCTTTATTCGTAAAACTGTCACCAGCAACCTTCTTATATGGTTGATCTTGAGCCTTGTCAGCGGTATCACTTTCAGTCTGCAGGCGATAGAGTTTTATGCGAGGCAAAACTGTTCGCCTCACTCCAATTACTACCTAGACTTGTTTATACCGCGAAGCTGGAACTGTTAAGAACAATTAATCGTATAGATCTTTCCCATTTGCATAGACAATAAAATCAAAAGATTAAGATTATTAAAAAATACGACGATATTTCCGTTCTGCAGTCAGAGAGTACTTTTAAAAACTAATATTAATACAGGTTTGTGTTAAATTGGAACACAGCAAAGATTTGTTTGTTGACACAACTGATAATAATAAGAGGATTAGTGAGGATTCAATTGCTAATAAAGATTAGATCCAATTGCTAATAAAGGGCAATTTATTCACTGAAAATGCACAATCTTAATTTAGTTTTTAAAACCTTCTTTTTTAATAAAATGAAAGTAACTGTAACTTTTTTCCAAGCCACTGATGAAAAAAAATGAAGTAGACAAAAGAGCATCTTTACTGAACCGTTGGGTAGAATCTAAATATATATATTTAGATACACTTCTAGAAACACATTTTGTGTATCTAAAACTATATCTGACAAGCAACACTATGGAACTGCCATACGCCGATTTTTCTGAAACTGTGCATACAAGTAGTTCTTCAAACACTATTTGACAGGCAATTTTTCGTTTTTCCCCAAAAACGAATTTTAGGGTGGAAATCACCCCTACCATTTTTTAGGGATGGACAGGGGTATTTTACAGACCGTTTGTAGGATTTCTATGAAATTTGGTATCTGAGGGTTTTTGAGGTCGCTGATTACGAATTTGAAATCAGTTTTTAAAAATTCAAAATGGCGGATCCAATATGGCGGTCGGATTTTAAATTATTTTAAGGATTTCTATCAAACATGGTATCTAGGGATTTTCGTGGTCGCTGATTACGAATCTGAAGTCTATTTTTGAAAATTCAAAATGGCGGATACAATATTGCGGTCGGGTATTCTATTTTTTATCAGATTTCTAAAAAACATGGTATATATGGATTTTTGGACTCTGTGATTACGAATCTGAAGTCAATTTTTTGAAGTCAATTTTTAAAAACTAAAAATGTCGGATCCAATAAATCGGAGAAAATTTTATATATTACTAGATTTTTACGTAACTTGGAATTTCCGATCTTCTTCAGTCGTTAATTAAGAATCAGAAATTATTTTTGACACTACTTTTAGCATTACCCAGGAACAACGACGTGGACGTAGTAGCTTTTTGTTCCTATTGGGGTGATTTATTAAAAGTGAGTCCCCTTGCCTCTCACAATATCGGGAGGTTTTTGATGTGAATCCCCTTGCCTCTCACAATGTCGGGAGGTTTTTGATGTGAGTCCCCTTGCCTCTCACAATATCGGGAGGTTTTTGATGTGAGT